AAAGCTTTTCCTCTCAATGATGTCATGCTCTCTGTCCTTACAATCCTTCAAGAAAATTCAGAAATGCACAACAAACTCTACTTCTTGCAGTGGCTGAGTCTCTTTTGTGAGAACCTGGCAACAGGACACTTGGAAAAGTTACGTGAGAACCAAAGATATTTGTGGTCAAAGGTACAAGTTGAAAAACAGAAGACACAAAAGAGCAACTCACTGACAAGATGGCAAAGTCAGATAGAAGCCATCTCCACAGAGATTAATGACTGTACCTTGGGAATTGAGCAATTACTCAGAGAAGTATGCCAGATCTATGAAGCTCTGGAAGAATCTTCCTCCACTAGAGATAGCCTTTTTCTCTGCCTCCCTCAGATTGCTGCAGACCTGATGATCTCTGGTGTTCCCATTGAGCTGATGGATGGGGATGCTTCATATGTGCCTCTCAAGTGGGTGGCAGCTGTTTTTGACAAGATCTCAGAGAAACTTGGAGACAAGCAGCTGTTTGTTCTCTCTGTCCTTGGCCTGCAGAGCTCAGGGAAGTCCACCCTGCTGAATGCCCTTTTTGGGCTGCAGTTCACAGTCAGTGCAGGCAGGTGCACCAGGGGGGCCTACATGCAGCTCCTGAAGGTGGAGGAGACATTCACAAAGGAATTTGGATTTGACTTTGTGCTGGTTGTAGACACAGAAGGACTTCGGGCCCCAGAACTCAGCAACAAATCCCAGAATCGGGACAATGAGTTGGCAACTTTCGTCACTGGACTTGGACACTTGACTCTGATCAATATTTTTGGCGAGAATCCCTCAGAAATGCAAGATATCTTACAAATAGTTGTCCAAGCCTTTCTGAGAATGAAACAAGTGAAAATCTCCCCCAGTTGCCTCTTTGTCCATCAGAATGTGGGAGAAGTTACAGCTAAAGACCAAAATATGGAAGGTCGACGGAAACTGGAACAGAGACTGGATGAAATGACAGCACTAGCTGCAGAACAGGAAGAGTGTTTACACGTCACCCGTTTTACTGATGTCATTGAGTTTGATGTCAACACGCATGTCTTCTACTTTGCCCACCTGTGGGATGGCAATCCTCCAATGGCCCCTCCCAATCCTCGCTATAGCCACAATGTGCAGGAACTGAAGAGCCGAATTCTGTTGACTGACCGGCAGGAATCCAGGAGAAGCGTCATGAAGATCTCAGATGTTAAATTCCGAGTTCAAGATTTGTGGAAAGCCCTGGTTAGTGAGAACTTCATTTTCAGTTTCAAGAACACACAAGAGGTCATGGCCATGAGCAAACTGGAAACCATGTATAACCAGTGGAGCTGGAAACTCAGGAGTCACATCCTAGACTTACAGAATCAGTTGAACAATCAGATTCAGAATGGGAAATTCTTGAAACTCACAATAGACATGCTTGAAAATCCAGTTAACAAGACTTATGAAACCATCAAAGAAGAGTTTGAAAAATATTTTCAAGAAGACCCAGAGAGTGAAATACTGATTCAGTGGAAAGCAAATTTTGGCAACAGGCTAGCAACTCTTAAAGATGGACTTGTTACAGAAACCAGGAGGAAAGCCAGTGAACTTATTAGTCTTAAAAAAAGCCATGAAGTTCTGGATAGCCAAAAGAAACACTATGAAAATGAATTATTGGAGAAGAGTCAAAAGTTGGCTTTAAGTGTGAAGGGGAAAGATTTAAGTGATGAAAACTTGCTTCAGAAATTCAATCAGCTTTGGAGGAAATGGGTCTATGAGGTTTCCTTGGCTGCCCCTCCTGTCATAGAGCCTAACATTGAAGTGGATTCTGACAGCATCCTTTGGGACTATTTCAACAAGGAAAGAAGAAGCCTGTCAGAGAAACTAACAAGAAATATTGAGAAGTTTCAAATCAACTATGATGAGCACATAAAAATGCGAAAAAATAAGTTTTATATTACAAAGAGTTTAGAAACCCGTCATAAGGAGTCCATCAGTAAGACAACTAATAACATTTTTTCAAGATTTGGAGAGATAATTAAAAATATCTGGATACAGCAGCGTGACTATGATCAGAATGATTTCCATGAAATCCTGAGGATAATAGAGAAAGAAGTAAAATCTGTGTCCCCTGAGGAAGATTACACATTTACAGCCAACTACAGTGTTGACTTAGCTGTATGTTTATTCAAAAGAGCTTCAAAGAGTTTTAAGGAGATTCATGAGGCATTCAAGAGAGCAAACGATCCTGTGAACTATCTGGAAAGCAAGAAAGATGATTTCTTCATGAGTTTTAAAATTTCCTGCCAAGGTGCGACCTCTATCAAATCATTTGCTGACTTTCTGTGGCTGAAGCTCATCCCTGCAATCTCTGCCTCCATAGGGGGAAAAATGGTTCTTAAAATAGCCGCAGATATGCGAGCTACCTGCCCTGAGTTCAGTGGAAACAGAGCTAACCTAGAGAAACACATTCTTTCCTTTCTGGCAGAAGAAGAAAAATTTGATAATTATTGGGAATATATTCATAATCCAGAATCTTTTTTCAAGAGTTACATCAGAAATTGTATTAGAAGATATTGTTCAGAAAATGAAGGTGATAAAGTAAAGGCTTCCATGAAAATGAGTTTAGATGACATCAAGAATGCCATCCGCAATGCCATTTACGAGTCCACTACAGTAACTCCAGACAAAAGCAGCACTGCATCCAGGTGGTTGGATCTGTTCTGTGATCAGCTGGGGAAAAACATGATCTTTCCACGAAGAGACTTGACAGCCATTGAACATCAGGAGATAAATGATACTGAGTTTCTCAAGGAAGCCATGAGTGCAGCTTTGGATCCCGCCATGAAGAAAGTGGAAGAGGACAGCTCAGGTAAGCCTATAGAGGACATGATTTGTGAAATTGAGAAAATTCTCACTGGACATCTCTGTGGCTGCTGGAAGCAATGTCCCATGTGCAAAGCAATTTGTACCAACACAATATCTACACATGATGGAGACCACAGTGTGCCATTTCACCGTCCTAAGGCTGTGAATGGATGGTCTTGGGAGAAAACAAACAACTTTGCCATTGACTGTTGCTCTACTTCTGTAGCAAGTGATAATGTGATGGTTTTGGGTGATGGTCGGCGAATCCCATTTAAGAACTACCGGCAGGCAGGAGGGGATTATGTCACATGGAGCATCACCCCAGATTTATCCACCCAGCCATATTGGAAATGGTTTGTTTGTCACTTTAGATCCAAGCTAGAAGAAAAATATCAGAAAATATTTGCAAATAAAGGTACAATCCCACATGCCTGGTTCAAAATCACAAAGCAGGATGTGCTTAATGACTTGAAAATGTAATATTTACCATGAAATAGCCTCAGTATCTGAAAAGCACAAGCACGGTACACAAAGAAGCCTACATGCAGCTTTCTTGCATCTAGAACTTTCAAGATTTTACTAAATACATGAAACAAGCAATAATCAATTACTGTTTTACTGAAGATTTTCTATTAAAGTACCTTACAAATCTTTGCCTTGATTTTTCCTTCTTAAGCATAATCTAGTGTATTTGACTATAAGTCAATACATAGTCAAACTCTTTTTTCATACTTTATTGATAATAATTGTTTAAATATATAATGTATCAAAAAGGTCATCCTATTAGAGGCAACTTAATGCTTCAGGCTGCCACATATTTCTATATCACAACTGAAAAGATATTTCAATTACTATAAAGTCTTTGGAGAAGGAAATTGACTTTAATTTTTGTTTGTCTTGTTTTTCATTTGTTTTTATTGAATTTTTGTGTATTTCATACAGAACCTCTCATACAATCTCAATCATGTTTATACCCCCATCCCCACCAGCACCTTCCCACAGCCCCCCCAGGTGCCCATATATGCTGTCCCATTGACACTCAGGCAGACAGAAATCCAGCATAGAACTGAGAAAATGAACAGCAGACCCCCAATCTTATCTGAATAAATATTAACAACCTATTACTACTAGGTGAAGAAAAGATGGTTATCTTAAAACAAGGGACTTTAATTTTTTTCTTCCTTGATATATTTATTTATTTATTTTTATGGGGATTTTGGCTAATCTAACATTCCCTCCTCTGAAGAGATATCCCTAAACTCTTTTAAGGATTAGATACAAGCTCCCAAATACTTTTGACATTTTTGTCCTTTGAACAGAGTATATTGTTAAGAGGCCCAACAGCATTTTGATTTTTAGCCAAGAAACTGGCTACTTTTCTTTGGGGTCTTTATACCCTAACTGCCTAGCCAGTTCCTATCTCCTTTTCTTATCACAACATCCTCTGAAGAGGTTACCCAAATTGCCAATATGGAATAGGGACACAGACCACTCTGGCTTCTTCCATGCTGAACAAGGATGCAGGGTTAGGCAATTGGAGTACCCCTTCAGTGGGTCTATCTAAAAGACTCCCAAATTGCATAACTCTTATCTCTAGGAGGAAAAGAAAGTCCTTGAATCATGAATAGGAGATGTGAAGGAGAAGTAAAGGCAAGAGCAATTAGCATTGTAAGTTCTAGACAGGGAACTAGACAAAATTCAGAACATGGCAATTTTCAAATGTTCATATGGGAGTCCATTGGAATTACTTGACAGGGGCTTCCAAAAGCATCCCTCTATTGGGTTCCTCCTCATTTTTCTTTTGTTTTCCAAGGCTAGACTCTAGAGTGATGGATTCAGGATTTGCTTTCAGGTATTGTAATATCTGTTGGAATGGTTAGAATCAGCGTCAGTTTCTTCTCAAAGGCTTCTAGATAGTGGAATAAAACAAATTTATCTATCATTTTAGAACAATAGATGGTTGTCTCCCTTAGCTACAGGTGGGCACTACAGTATTGGAGACCAAGGTGTGAAGTCTTATGTATGAGCAGCACTTTCTGGTTAGGAACAAAATCAAGAATGAGAAATATTGTCTAAATAACTTTTCACATAGACTTAAGCCTAATGTCTGGCAAGTGTAATCCCTTGAACTCTTAAAGAAGTATACTGATGACTTTACTCTTTGGTTATACTTTCCTTTTGGGTGTTTAAAACCATAGAGTTGTGCCAAATAAATCAATTTATTTTTACATTTAAGGTCATTTGAGGATCTGTTCCTCAGGGGTCACATGGGCTTGGGAGGAGCTCCTGGATCCTTTCTTTTACCAGTTCCATCTATGTGAAGATAAGTCAAAGGTCCTGTTCGACCATGTCTGGCTTCACTTGGAAGCATGAATGCGATGTTTCCTCTAAGTTGATCCTTCTCTTTGTAGACTGAATACTGGTTCAAGTCCATTTTGTGGGGTTTCCATGTCCTCCCTGAACAAGAGGACAGGTGACTCACAACATTTACATGGCATTTTGAGAGATGTGCCATAGTCCCTTGGAAATTAGTTGACCTTGGAGGGCAAGGGGCAAAATTAAACTTTTAACTGTTTGTTGTTGTTGTTGTTGTTGTT